GCGCCCGGCCTACTTTCCTTAATTTCGTGAAATTTAAATACCATAGGCTTTACACGGTTCCAGAACGTGAGTTATCATGCTAAGCGGCTCTTTTTCATGTGAAGTTGAAAGAAAAGCTGCTTCAAACCTAGAAGAGGAGCTACTGCCCTGCTCCAAACAGCTGTCCACCCCCAACACACACCCTGGTGCTCCCAAATCCTTGATTCTTTTGCTTTCCCTATCACAGCTACACCTACTGAATCTTGTGGAAAATTGTCCCATCTCCTGAAACAGACACGTGAGAGCAGTGGCAAACGTCCCCTTTTTCCCTGTAGTGCCGGGCATGCTGGAGTATGAGAGTCTGCAGGGCATTTCTGGCCTGAAGCCCACGGGCTTCCGGAAGCGGTCATCCAGCATAGACGACACAGACGCCTACACAATGACCTCCGTGCTGCAGCAGCTGAGCTACTTCTACAGCACCATGTGCCAGAATGGCCTGGACCCCGAGCTCGTGAGGCAGGCGGTGAAGCAGCTCTTCTTCTTGATCGGGGCGGTCACGCTGAACAGCCTCTTCCTGCGCAAGGACATGTGCTCCTGCAGAAAAGGGATGCAGATAAGGTAAAACCCAGGACGGCCACCTACCCCGGACAGGCCAGCTGGAGGGAATGCTCTTAAAGTCCAAGGCCGCACATGCCTGGCCCTGCCTGCTGCAGCCTCAGACCCCCACCAGCTGCTGCGGGGATGTGCAAGGTGACTCACAGTGCCCCAGAGATGTCAGCCATCTGGCGCCTGGACCCTACCCCCCTCACACCGCACCACGCTACCTTGACGATCCGACCTAGTGGCTTTAACTGAGAACTAGTAATTGTATATTTTTAATTCTAGCCCTTTATGGTTATCATACACTCAACCCGCATAACCACCTTCTCTGTGACTAGTACTGCAGGCAGAGAACACAGGAAACAAAGGAAAAATGATATGATTCCTGCCCTTGTGAAGCTTAAAATAGCTAAGCAATAAATCAAGGCACAAACTAGCAGTGCAGGAAATGCTTCAGAAAAGAGAGAGATTGCAGACGGAAAAGTTGGCTAAGCCAGAGAGTTGTGCGTTGAGTGATTAAGGAAAGGGAGAAAGCAGGCAGGGGACATGGGCAAAGGCACAGTGGTGGGACCCAGCGAGTACCCCTGCTCAAGCTCCTTCTGGATTAAGAGATTTGTCTGGGGAGCAGTAGGACCAAAGTAGAGAGGTCGGTTGGATCCAGACTGGAATGCTAGGCTAAGGCATTTGGAGTTTATCCCGAAGACAAGGAAATCCACGGTTTCGAGGTGTGTCAACTCTCTCTCTCCATTAAGGAAACGTGCACCTTGAGCTATTATTGGAACTAACACTGGTCAAGTGATTAGGAAACACATGATATGGGGTGGATATTTAAGATTCTTATAATACGTGCAGGAATGGGATACCTGTCTGTGATAGGAGAACCTGGGGTGGCGATGATAGTAATGATGTAAGAGAAGGTGACAAAGGAAGTATCTTAAGCTAAGAAATAAATGTGAAGCATCCATTATGCCTTTTCAGCATTAGTGAAACTTGGACATTCCCACAAACCAGGCTGGCAAATTCCCACGCTAGGGTATGGTTTTCAAATACGAAGGGGTATTCAGAAGGACTGGCCTTTGCAAGTCTTTTTCTCTTTGTTGAGAAAGGAAAGAGTTCTGTTTATTTCACAAGCTCCAAGCAGATGCCCTGTAGCCCTCGGAGGTAGGTTTCAGCCCTATTTAAAGTAAAGCCATGAACTTACATGCGCCTCCACAGCCTTTGCTAAACTCAACCCTCACTCCGTCAGGGGGTCCCCCAAGACTGCGTAGGGACATGAGGGAGATTCATAACTCTAGATCTTAGAACAACTTCTGCGAGGACAAGCAAACATCTGCCCCGGAGTTGCTCAGTGCTTTTTCCCTTTCACCAGTTGAAAGTGGCCATCAGAGAAGTAGTGCCTTTACAGTGCTACGCTGTTAGAGGCATTCGCTTATTCGTTCAGATATTTACCAAGTGCCTGCCATAAGCAAGGCCTACAGAGGATTTGAGATGGCTTTACAACGAAATCATGAGCGATAAAATAATAAAATATGAACACAAGTAGAAAATCAGAACCAAAGAAAAGAAAAATATGTAAATAGTAGACAGAGTAGCTTGAAAACTGGCTTCCAGGACAAAGAGCAAAACACAACGAGCTCTTTGTTTCATTGGGTATGGCGAGGCAGGACAGCTCCTGGGAAGATATAAAGATTTTCCTAGTACCTAAGTCTTTCTCGTTCTTAGTCATGAATTGCAAAAATAATGCCTCATGTGGAACTCTATCTCATAATTGCCACGCTAACATTTTTACAGCAAATTTCATTGTGGCTGCTTTGCCCATTGTCCCATGAAGACAGTTCTGATAGGAACTAGAATAATGGGACCCAAATAAATAGGTTGCTTTCTGGCCTGAGGGATTCTGGGAGAGTAGGAAAAGCAATGATTTGGGTCTTAAAGAACAGATGGGATTTCAACAAATAAAGAATTACAGGAATGAGCACAGGCTGAAATGAAGGGAAACTGAAAGCAGGGTGTGGACGGAGCACGCCAGGAGTGATGGGAACCTAGAAAAATTAGGAAGAGAACAGAGTGCCAGGGCGAAAAATACATACTTAGTCCCTCAGCAGTGGCAGCCAATACAGGTTTTTTTCTTCAGAAGGTTTAAACTATGAATTCGCTTTCTTTAGTAGTTGTAGGACTATCCAGGTTATGTATTTCATCTTAGGTGGGTTTTAGTAGTTTGTGATTTTCAAGAATTGGTCCATTTAGTCTAAGTTGTTGAGTTTATGCACGTAGAGCCGTTCATAATATTTCCTTGTTATCCTTTGAATTTCTTCGGGATCTGTAGTGCTGTCCCTCTTCCATTCCTGAATTTGGGACATTTTCAGCCACTATTTTTCCAAATATTTTGTCTACATCATACTTTTTCTTCTACTTCTAGAACTTCTGTGATGCAAATGTTAGCTCTCTCATTATTGTCCCATGAGTCCCTAAAGTTTTCTTCATTTTTCTCAGTTTTTTTCCCTCTGTGCTGTTCAGATTGGATAATCCCTATAACCCTTCAAGTTCAGCGACTCTTCTGTTATCTCTAGTCTGCTACTGAGACTATTCAGTGATTAATTTTATTTCTGTTACTGTATTTTTCAATCCTAAAATTTTCATTTGGTTTCTCTTTATATCTTCTATTTCTTTTCTGAGACTTTATATTAATATCTTTCCATTCATTGCAAGAGAGTTTATGTTTACTTTTTGAATCATTTTTATGATAACTTCTTTTTAAAGTTTTTGTCAGATAATTCCAATATTTGTGTCATCTCAGTGTTGACATCTGTTGTCTCATTTAATGTGAATTGAGATTTTTCTGTTTCTTCATATGTCAAGTAATTTTGAATTGTATTCTAGACATTTTCAATGTTATATTATGAGATGCTAGTCTAGATCTCTACATCCTATGGAGGATGTTGATATTTTTTTCATGTAAACAACCCACTTGGGTTCAGGCTACAAGTTCTGACCATCCTCTATGTATTGTGGTCCCCACGTTGGTTCAGTTTTCAGAGGCTTTGTGGTGCTATTTGGTTCTGTCTCATATGTGTGACATACGCTGGCCAGTCTGGAACTTGAGTGGTTGCCTAGGTCATAGTTCAGTTCTCGAAGTGTGTATATGCTGTTTAGGGTCAAATCCATGCATGGACTCAGGGATAAGCCCAGGAACTCATAAAGAACTTTAAGAAGCTACTTTCCAAGCTTTCCCAGGCTCCTCCCTTTCCACAATATCCCTGGAACTTTCTGGTCCCTTTTTGGTCCGTCAGCCAGAAAACTGGGGCTTTACATAACTTGCTCTGCAATGCAGTTCCTGCAATGTCCCCTCCTGGGGACGAATGGTGGGAGGGCAACGAGAGAATTAAAACAGTGGACTCATCTGTCCTCTTGAGCCACAGCTTCTCCAGTGGGAAAGGAACTTTTCCTTCTCTCCAAGTCTCAGGCTCCCACTGGCCCCCATTGCCACCGCTGCTGCTACCATGGGATTGTTTGGGATCTGAACATGAAAGAATGAATAAAGGAAGGGGAAAAGCGGGGCATTTCCACCCTCTCTCTGAGCATCAGGAGACCCTTCTCCAGCTCCTCAAGCTAGAGCCGGAGGGCTCCTCCCAGAGCTCTTTGTTGAAGTTGATGCTCACTTCTCAGTTTCAGGCCGTGTTGAGGTCAGGCCAGTGAAAAGCAGAGGGAAACAACCAGTAAACTCACTTTCAATTTGGAAGTACTTCAGATTCTGGTGATCTTCCCCAAGACACTATTTACTTTTCAGAGTCCTCAAATAGCTGCCCATGCGTTCCATCCAGGGCATGTAGCTGCATCGAGTGGGAGCAACAGGGTGGAGTGTGGCTTACTCCAGCTCACCAAGAACCAGAACTCCACACATTTTTAGTGAGAGAATTAACATGCTCAAAATTCAGATTTAGAAAGGCCTGTGGCAGGATCAAATGGGGTGGCTTAGAAGGGCTAAGATGGGAGGCCCATTAGAAACCTATTGTAATAAAAACTAATAACTCAAACTATTGGGACAAAGTGACAATGCAAAAAAGGGGGAGGGGAGAACCAAAGCAAGGGGTGTTGTCCCACACACGTGGCCTCCCAGCGCACTACATGACTGTAGCGCTACTGTCCCAGTGTCACACCCGAGAGGAGACCCACACGGAGAGTTGCTTATTGGGAAGCTCAGAGCTGGGACTGACCCTAGAGATCACCCAGTTCAACACTCAATTTTTTTTTTTAGTGTCTTCATTGATTTGTAATTTACATACCATAAAGTTCACCCATTTAAAGTTCGGTGGTTTTTGGTATATTTACAGCATTGTCCAACCATCACCGTAATGTAATTTTCACCATAACATAATGTAATTTCCATCTCTCCTAAAAGAAACCTCATACCATCAGCAGCCACTCTCACTCCTCTACCCCCAACTCTCTATCCCTGAGCCTAGGCAATTATTAATATATTTTCTTTCTCTATAGATGTGCCTATTCTGGACATTTTTAAACAAATGGAAGCATAGAATATATTCTCTTTTGTGGATGGCTTTCACTTACATAATGTTTGGGAATTTTATCTATGTAGCAGATATCAGCATCTCACTCCTTTCTATTGCTGAATAATATCCCATCGTATGGATATGTTGTAATTTGTTTACCCATTCAGCTGTTGATGGGCATTTGGGTTGTTTTTACTTTTTGGCTATTAAGAGTAACACTTCACTTAGTGGAATGTGTTCCAGCTCTGTCCAGGAGAATACAAGAGGTACTGTATCACCATTGTTTCTTAAAGCTGAATAGTACTCCATGGTATACATATACCACATTTTATTAATCCACTCATGTATTGATGGACACTTGGG